CCGCTGAAGACTGGCGCCCGCGGCCATAAGCAGGAGCAAGGCGTCGGGCTGGCGTCAGTTGCACAGCTGGTGCGGATCGCCAGTGCCATCCTCAGGACCGACAATCACATGCTGCGCCAACACACAGTCCACGCGCTCTGCCACACACCAGCCGCCCACCTGCAGGAGCTGATGCGCGAGCTGCGGCCGCTGGCTGACGCCTTGTTTGACGACGGCTCCGCCGCTGTCCACCGCAACTACCTGCACGTAGCCGCCGGCAGCGCTGGTCTGGCGATCAAGAGCAGCAGTCCGGCTGCTCAGCCGCCGATGCTGCCAACCAGCAGCAATGACGACCTGGCCAGCGACGTGAGCAGTGTGCCGAGCAGCCGCCGGGCCGGCAGCTTCGATGCGGCAGCCAAGGATGATCCGACGGCGGCTGGGTCTACTAGCGTGCAGCGCCGCAAGCGGCTAAGGCACTCGCTGGCGCAGCTGTACAAGCATGTGGCCAGACAGCTGGCGGCCCGCGACACCAGCGGCCGGGCGCTGTTCCAGGACGATCTGGTGATATCGCAGCTGATCGCGTATGTGCGCGAAACACGTACGTTCCTGACCGACGCCAACGCCGTGTCAGAGCCCGAGCACCAGGGCCTGCGCATGCAGCTCTGCGGGCTGGTCGAAGCCCTCTACTACTTCCTGTCCGAGCCCGCGACGCAGCCACTGCTGCCCAAGGCCGCCCGCCGCTTCACCCACGAGACCCGCCGCGGACTGTACCAGCTGTGCGAGCGCTGGTGCGGCCCGGACCCGTCAAAGGACGACCGGCTGCGTCGCGCGGCCCTGCGCTCGCTGGCCGTGTTGTGCCGCGGAGCTCCCGCCAATACAAGCGAGGGCGGGCCACGCGACCAGCCGGCGCTTCTAGCCTGGGTAGCCGAAGCCCTGGCCGACCGCAGCCTGCAGAGCATCGCCCAGCATGCCATTTCGTGGACGGTGTTGGCCGACCCTGCCGACGTTGAGATGCTGCGTGCGCTGGTCCAGCTGGCATACGGTGACAGCCGCGTCGCCCTGGGCTGCCTGGCTGCACTGACCAGCGTCTTGGCTAGCGACACGCTGCTACCCGAGTGCCAGCCGTGGCTGCTGGTGCTGCTGCTGGTGCATGTGCAGGCCGACCAGCGCATGCTGAGGCGCCAGGCACTGCTTCTGCTGCAGACGCTTCGCCAGGACCCACACATGACTGCAGCCCTGGCCCCCGCAATCCTCGCCGACGTGCCGGTCGTCGCCCGCCGCGCCGCCTGCCAGCTGGCCGAAAATGTGGCCGGGCTTTCCCTGAGATGTCAGCCCAAATCTGTGCTGAGGTCGCGCACCAGGTTAGTGAATTGCCGGAGCCACGGCTCGCCTGCCTTCTGCGCATCCTGCGGCCCTGGCTCGCCAACGTCCAGCTCGCTGCCTCCGAGCCTCCCCCCAGCATGGCGCCGGGCACTGCCATCAGTGAGGATTCCCAGCACGTGCTCCAGTGCCTGTTGCTGATCACCACACGCGCCGGCGCCGCCCACATCGATGCCATGCAAGATGCCTGGGCGGCGGTGGTCGAAAGCCCCACGCATGGCCAATGCAATCAGCGCGTGGTCGTGCAATTCCTGGTCACCTTGCTTCTGTGCTTGCGTAGCTCTGCATTGCTGGTGCTTGTGCGACGCGTCTGCGTGTTCCTGGCACGGTCCACCCACCGCACGCAGCTTCTGGACCAGCTGATTAGCGAAACCTGCCGCCCTTCAGCCTTCGTCCCCCTGCCGCACATTCCCGAGGACCACAGCGTGTGGGCAGAGGAACTTCGAACAGCCATGGATCACGGCGAGACTGTGCAGATTGCCACTGGTGCCCTAGCGCTGTACTGCCTGAATGCCATTGCCCTGGAGCTGCCGCTGCCGCTACTGCGTGTTCTACCGCCAGCCCTGTTCGCCATCGCCTACCCGGAGCCATGGGTACGCGTCTCGGCGCGTGCGCTGATCCGCACTCTGGTCGCGCAGCAGCCTGGAGATCCCAAGCCCTTGCTTGCCATTCTGCGCAGCCCCGCGTGCCTTTCTGGCTTCGGCCACCTGGACAAAAAAGACAGCACCGATCTGCTGGACACTTTGCCTAGCGACCTTTTACCGCGCGCCGCCGAGCCGCCAAACGACCAGTCCCGCATCACATTGCAGACTTTGGTGGCTGGGCTCTCGCAAAGCATCTCCTCCCCAGAGTTCGCCCAGTCACTGGCCACTGATGCCGTGAACTGGGCCATGGGGTGCCCGGTGCGCCATATGGCCGCGCTTTCCTTGCAGATATTCAGCTCCCTGGCTATCGAGGCCCAGCATGGTTCGGTGGTAGTCACGCCGACGCGCAATATGGTGCTCCGATTGATCGACCGTCTCTCCAATGTGCTGGAGAATGAGCCTGAGCTGTCCGTATTCGCTGAGACCGTCCTGCATGCCTTGCGTCAGGTCGCCATTCTGGTTGTGCGCAATGCCGACGTGGAGATTGTCAGCGACCTGATGGCCACTGCAATCTCTGTCATGCAGGTCGCTGGCAGCGGCGTCTATGCCGCTGCATTGGGTGTCTTTGAGCGTGTGTTTCCGCTGGTCACCGATCACGACAATATCAGGGCCAAGATACGCGCAAAAGCCGGCTTGAAGGTCTCTGGCTACCAGCCAGCATTACTGCATGGCCTGAAGTTCAGTGCCTGCCGTGAACGCTGCCTTCGGCTGTTGCGCGAGGAACCGTGCATGGACATCGCGATACTTTCAGTAGCTGCCCACCTACCGTCCATGCTGGAGCCGTCCTGGGACGAAACACCTGCCGACCGCCATGCCCCTGTAACCTCGCTATTCGACAAGTACCACAGCTTTGTGCAGCGTGCATTAACCGGCACAACCGCAGACGAGTCCCGAAAGTTCCTATCCCTTCTGCTCTCCCACCTCTCGTCGCCGACTAATTCCAACAACCTGGTACGCCAATTCGGCTACTGCGCATCCGATCATTCGCCTTCGGATTTCCTCTCGGTGCTCCTCGACCTCTGCTCGCCCTCCATGCGTGCCCGCACCGCCCTCAAACACCTGTCTGCACTGCAGTTCGCCTCTCTCCAGTCGACGCCGCTGTTGGGTGAAATCCGACGCATTGCCATCTCCCTCGACTTATTCGCCAGCGTCCTATCATGCTCGCAGGTGGCCACATTAGCCGTGGATCTCCGCCTCTTGGTGCAACTGAATGTCATGGCCGGCATTATTGCTAAGCGCGCCGAGAGGGCATTGCTGCTGGTACTGCAACGGGCCAGAGAGCGCATCGGCGATGTGGATGACTTGGATGTCGCCAGACAAGCGCTGACCAGGATTGTCGCTATGGGCGTCGACGATGAGCACCTTGGCTGTGACGATATTGTCGGGAGTGAGAGTGGAGACGAGGATTTGCTGAGGGACTTGGATGACTTTGATCGTATGTTGGATGAAGCTCTTTTGCAGTAATATAGGCTCCATTTTTACTCTGGATTTTGCTCATGCGGTGCTATATCAGACTCATCGCTACCATTGCTCCGTTGACCACCAACGACTCTGTAATAATGCCCACAACCATATTTGTAAGCACACCCCCATTCCTATTTACCTTGGCTTTCCCAAATACCCACATTTGCCAGTTAATAGTTCAAACACGCTATATATCTGCTTGTTCACCACGCTGAATTACGGAATGAGTGCATGTACTATGAATGTAGTTCCTAAACCGGTCGATCATAGGATCCCAGGATCCCAGCCCCTAGGCCACAGTATCCCCCATTGACTCTTTCAAACAACAGACAACATACACAAATGGGCACCTGCCCTTCCACATGGGCCAAATAAGGCCTGTGGTTTCGTTTACCGACGGCGTACTAAGGCAGGGGATATTAACAGTTGGAAAGAAAATGGCAAGGATTGTCTGGGTACCCATGAAAAACGACTGAATGAGCAGGCAGCCTCCAACTGCTAGCACAGCCGGCGACACAAGTCTAGCAGCAGAGCGAATACTGCTCATAGTGATCGAATATTGTAAAGCCAGTCAATATAGACGATTGTAAAAACAAGATGGCTCTCATCTATCCATGAGGTTGGATGAGTCTATGAACCCCAGCAGCTGCGGTTGCCAGGTTTGTTCCCAAAGAATGGTTTACCTGCATGAGCGGCATGTTCTGTGCTTTGTAATCTCCTACTAAATTGGCACTACCCGCTGATCCAACATAACCATTGTGCTGATCTCTCTACATGGTCGTTCCTAATGTTGAGGTCAGTGCTGCACGTCATAAGGAATGGGGTATGCCTTTGAGCTTGGTCTCGGTTGCTGACATGAAGCGGCTGTGAAAAGGTACCAGGCTATCTGAAATTTGAGGTTTTCGTTGCAAAATATTCGAATGTTTCATGAGAGGCTCAGCAACTCCAGGCAGTGGGGGAGCATGAGATGATGGAAGAACAGAGAGGACGCTATGTACCGATAGTACTTTTGTGGCGAACATAGTATAGGTATACTCATTGAAGGTGTGAAGGTAAAATCTCTGGATGCACATATCTCCGGCAACAGAACCACTAGAAGGGCTAACTAACGTTTATGAGATAGTGATAGGATCAAGTGATATACTTGTACAAGCAAAACATAAGAAAAAGCAGATACCAGTGAGTGAGGCAATGTTAAAATACCACCCAGGTGGCAGAGCAAGATATAGAGACGAAGGATAATTATGTGTGAACGTGTGCAGTTCACTGTAATCGGATCTTGGGATTATATCAGTCTTCTACAAAACACTGCAAACTGCGCCATGGTACCTGGCACACAGGTACTGTCAACACTGGCTACCACACAAAATCGCACCTTGTCTCTGTTCATGTTTACTTGAATTTGTTTACTTTAAACAGCCAAACTCTAGGAGCACACCTTCGCATGTTTTCATATACCCACCGCCACCAACCGGCACCTACACACATTGGCAGTAGGGCAATCGAACAAACAGGGTTCATGCGACCCCCACTGCCGCCACACGCCATAGCCGATATATGGACAATGGAGCAATACTCGCCTACCTATGAGTGCTCTGAAGATACCCCGCCATATACTCTGCATACTGAAGTAATGAAGGGTACAGCAGAAAAGCAATGTGTGTCAGAAAATAAACGACGCAAGGCGAGTTTTGCACATCAAAATGACAGCATGCCTCCACCGGGCGCCCAGACACCTGCATCGATGGTGGACCCATGGCCATCCCCGAAACAGAGCTATAAGAACCAACCAGCTAGATATGATGCAGTACCCAGCAATGTGCGCTCATATGGCCCATTAGGATCGCACGGCATGCCAGTTGACATGCCTGATTTGGTATCTGATGGCTACCCACGACATACCATGGCATTCGCTTTGCCCCAGTCTCGTCGGATTGCACTACGGCGCTTGCCTGGTAACACTACGGGCAGGTGCGCTACTGCCAAGGAAGAAGACGATGATGATATTGGCGCCATATTCTGCGTTTACCCGAGCCCAAGGTCAAGGAATAGCGAAGTCTATTCGGTTGCTGGTGAATTTGCGATGCTATGCATCCAAGGTGATGGTCCTTGACATTCAGTATGGCTATCTTTTGCGGGGAGCAGCTAGTCGGCCACAGTCACAGCCACACCAAGCGATGACTCAATCTTCCGCACCTGCTACTGCTGCGCTACGGTTCTGACAGCGCACACTTGTCAGAACAGACATTCAGTGGAAGCACGCCAATGTCCAAATGATCATGTCAGCACATAAGAGGTCTGCTTCATCGTATAGACATCAGTGTAATCAATATGCTCTGGTGCTCCCACCACAAAGGCACATATCAGCTTTCGAGTCATGGTTTTAATAGTAGGAGAGAAATGAAAAATTAGCGAGAGGAAAGACCCTAGGGCGTCTGGATCGTGGGCGTCATCAGCGGTGTCTTCATCTTCAGGTGGATGGGCGGTCTCAGATCGCTGTCCTCATCATGGTCCTTGATGCCTGGCAGCTCAGCTGTGATGCTGAGAGCTGCCAGATCGTACGTGGCCAGATCGGCGCCATCGATAGGCGTGCCCGGGATCGACTGGGGCCGCGAGATCTTGCTGCCCTGCGCATCCCGGTCGTATGGCGACGCGTAGCTCGAGTCGTCAAACGACTCCGGATAGCACCGCCGCAGCGCGCACTGCCGTGCCTTCATGTACTCGATGCCCATGCGCTTCCAGTCCAGGATGTCCGACAGCCGCTCCGTGCGGTTGCGCTGGTTGATGCGCTGCCGCCGCGACTTTTGGCAGAAGTCAAACATGTGGCTCGCCAGCTGGTCCTGCGACTCGTCGGCAGACTTCATGCGGCGGTCCACAATGTAAATTCCATAGTCCTGCGGGTTGACAATGTTGTCCTCCATGAAGCACCCGAAGCCCGACAGGTTCGTCGTGATCGAGGGCACCCCCATCACTGTGCACTCGGCCGGCGTGTAGCCCCACGGCTCGTAGTACGACGGGAACACACCCAGGTGCGTGCCGCGGATAAAGTCCTCGTAATCCAGCCCGATCACAGGGTTGTTGGCGTTCAGGAACTCGGGGTGGAACACAACCTTGACGCGGTCGTCGTCGTTGTTGAACAGCTGCACGGCCCGCAGCTGGGTCAGCACCGGGTCCTCCGAGTCGTCGACCACATTGTGCGTGACGATTGGCGGCAGCGCATCGCGCTTCAGCGAGAACACGCGCCGCTTCAGCAGGATGCGGTCCTGCTCCGTCAGCAGATCGTCCGCCTGCGGCTCCTTGCCGCGGGCTGCCATCTCAAAGATCCGACGCCCAATCCGTGCCGACACCTCGTTGACAGTGTCCTCCAGCTGCTTGATCAGCGCCTGGCCCTTCAGCGTCTCGACCGTGAACGAGTTGACCTTGGCCGGCGTGATGATAAACGCCACCACAGTCACCGGCGAGTTGCACGCCTTCAGCCGGGCGTTAAGGCGCGCCAGGGACTCAATGTACATGTCAATACCCTTGTTGCGGTACTCGTACCGTCCCGCAGTGAAGAAGTACAGCGTGTTCTCCAGATCAAAGTTGTAGTGCCCGTAAAAGTGGCCGCGCACAAACCGGTTGATCTTCTCCTTGGCCACCTGGTGCAGGTTCTGGAACTCGTGCATCGCAGAGAACTTGACCACGTTGAGTCCGTTCGGTAGCACACCGTCGGGCTTGCGCTTCAGTAGGTACTCTGCCTCGTACGCCGTGATGTTTGACACGGTGGTAAACACGTCGACGCAGTGCGACGCCGCCCGCTCAATGCAGTACCGGTGGTAGATTCCGCGCTTGCCGGCCTCCTCGTCCACGTTGAAGTGGCGGAGGTTGTTGTAGAAGTCGACGTTGCCTGCGCACAGGTACCGCCCCAGCAGCGTCGCGTGGGTGGTGAAGATCGTGGCCACATCAATCTTGCGCTTGTTGCACAGCACCGCGCCCACACCAGCCTGCCACTCGTGGAACTGGGCGATGATGGCGTGTTCCTGATCGTTCTTTGCGACCTATTAGTTGATTACAAGAGCACGTTGTCAGCAACAGGGCGGGTAATATCAGGCAGCAAATCCAGGTGCCAGACCGGTTTTTCTGCAACCTGCTCTTTGTGCCTTTTTTTAAGCACGGTGAACAATTGGATCGTCTCGTACGCAGTCCCCCCCCCCCAACCCAAGCTTGCTCAATGAGAAAACGTCACCTACCTCGCCCAGGAACCACGCATTCAGGTAGCCCAGCAGAATCGCATCGTTGGTCTCGGTGTCGTTTGGCGGCGACGGAATGCCGGCCACGCGCCAGAGGTCTCCCTTCCACTCGTCGAGCTTGAACGCGGCCGACCCGATATCAAACAGCACCACGCGGGGCGCACCGTCAATCAGCCAGCGTCCATACAGCACCTGGATGCCCTGTGCCCGGATCGACTCGATAGCCTGCTTGATGGCTGGCTGGTCCGGCTCGATCTCCTCCACCTCAACCGGCGCAGTGAACCGGTTCCACGGCCCAGTCAGATGGTACCGGTCGCCGTACTCTTGCACCGTCACGGGCACCTTGGTCTTGATGACCGTGTAGATGCCGCCGACCTTGTTGGCTACCTCCCATGAGGTCTCAAAAAGAAGAGGCTGCTGGACGTCACGCATAGCAGGCAGGAGAAGTAATAGGAAAGGGGGTGTTGTTTCTTGGGTAATAGAAGAGAGAAAAGAAGTACAGAGAGGAAGAGCTCCCGCGGAGACAAGAAATGGTAGTAAAGCAAACAGAAACGGGTGCCGGGGAGGGGAGGGATAGCCTCTTTTTGTACACGCGCTCGGTGAATGCGCTTTGAGGGGTTTGGATGAGGGGAGGCTGGATTGGAAATCTGGGTCCTGATATCGATGCCATCGCCCGAACAGGACCCTGTATACGCTGCGATAACGAGCTGGCCAGCAACGAGCAGGCGTGCCCCTCTCCTGATGCTTTTCTTCGCCCCCTCCCCGCTCCTCAACCAGTCAAAACCGCTGGGGGGAATGGGCCATTGCCAGACCACCCGCGCATCAGTCGACGGCACGACACACAAAACGACCACTAGGTATCGGCAAAAACAGCACCATCTCGCCTGCTCATCCCACCCTGCCCAGCCCCGCTCCCCAATCCGACGTGCGCACACGCACCCGAGTTCAAACGAGCCCGCGCTGTCTGGGCTCTCCTCCCCCAAGGCCTTTGCTGAATGAGCAACCGCGCCAGATCACGCTAATCGCCCGTGGCCATTGGACTGTTTTCGCCGAAGCATCCGCGTTTGAAAATCGTCGACTGCACGGCCCTTGGGGCGATTGTCTCTTTTTTTGGGGAGGCAAGCGACAACTGCTGCCCATGTGCTGGGAGACCCACCCACGGCCACGCCTTTGCATGCTGCCCGAGCACGACTTACTTTTCGTTATCGATCCATTGCGAATAATTGGTGTATACTGCGCCTGGCAGGGCATGCCACTAATAAGGCGGCTGGCATGTACGTCCAGTGCTGTGTTGGGTGTGAGAAATCACCGGGGCAAGTGTCCTTGGACCTTTATCGATTCCCCCCTGCTCTATACGTATCTTCCCACCACACCCTGCACAGCCTTGATAACAGACAATGAACAACACGCGCCGATTCGCACATGTGCTGCTGGTGATGGTAGTTACACTGATCTCCACGTTCTTGTCACCAGCAGTCCGTGCGCTGAAGCCGCGCGTGCCAGGAGCAAACGGGCGCCTGATTGTGTTTGGCGAGAGCCTGGTGGATCCCGGCAACCTGTACACGGCCATCGGCCACCTGTTCCCCTCGGCTCCCTACTACCAGGGCCGCTGGAGCAACGGGCCGACCTTTGCCGAGTACCTGGCCGACCTGCAGTGCCGTGCGATGGAGAACTTTGCCTTTGCCGGGGCAACCACCAACAACGGCAACGTGACGGCGCTGCCGGTCAAGTCTATTGTGCAGATGCCCAGTACCAGCGAGCAGCTGCAGCTGTTCGACCTGTACCATCTGCTGACTGTCTCGGGAAGTGCATTCAAGGATGACATTGTCATGATGACTGCTGGAGCCAACGAGATCTTCCGCTCCATCGAGGGCATCCTCTCGGGCGACCTGCCCACCGACTACCTGCCGAGCGTCATTGCTGGCAACCTCAAGCAGCAGATCCTGGCGCTCAAGGAGCAGGGGCTGGTGCGCTTCATTCTGTTCTCGCTGCCGCCCATCGAGGACTCGCCGAGGAACAAGCTGGGCAACTACCCACCCGAGGTCCGCGACACCGTCAACAGGATCAACATTGCGCTCGAGCAGATGGTCGTCGAGGTCAGGGACCAGGACCGCGACAACGAGACCGACCCCAGGCGTCGCATCAAGTGGATCCACTACATCTCCTTCCACGAAATCATCGCCACCCTCGAGGACCCGCTCATCCTCGATGCCATGCACATTAAAAACAGCAACTCGTCCTGCCTCCAGACCCTAAAGTACGACATTGACCTGGGCAACGACTTTTACAACTTCCTCGAGCTCGTCACCCACGCAAACACCATCCCCATGTGCGACAACCCCGACGAGTACTTTTACTGGGACGCCTCGCACTTCTCCGCCCAGATCCACCGCACCATTGGATATATGCTCGACGACGCGGTCGCCAAGTTCGAAGCCAACGAGTGCTGGACTATCGACAGCGGTCGCATTCTGGAGCTCGTCAACCAAAACGAGCTGTACACGCCCATTGTGCTGCCCAAACAGTCCGCTACCACGTCAATCGTCCGGACCATGATGCAAAAGTTCCCCATCCTGCGCCTGGCATTCCGCACATTTATGCTTTGAGCAGCACACGCTCCCCCTGCACACTCACGTAGAAATACAAGAAGCTGATGGACCCAGAAACTTGGACATAAAACAAAATACAATAACAAGACGAGCTTTTAGATAAAGAAATTATAGAAGGGTGAGGCAGCCTTTCGAAACGCAAAACTAGCAATTGCTCTTACAGCTGGCTCGTTTTCGATCTCGACCAGAATATGCTTTTGATTTTGCTCTTCACTGGCGTCTTGCCCTTCTGCCCCTGCTCCTCTGCAACCAGCGACGCGCTGCTTCTCATACTGCGCACGCTGCTTGCCAGGCTCTTCACCCGCGATGTCGCCGCCATTGTCTCTGGCCTCAGCCGAGTACTGACCTGCTCTGGCAGCGGCGACATTGGCGGTACATTTTGCGGCGGCA